AGGCAATCGTTCGATGGGCTGAATTGCACAAAACGCATGATCGCACTAGCTAGTCTGGTGCGCGTTATTTATTTGCGTTGAAATGATGTAGGTTTTTGTTATCGAACTAACATAATGTAGAGGACTCATTTTTTCAGGCCCCGTGAAAGTTCAGTTGTCGAGTTTGTTTCAGATTCCGCCAAAATGCACGTGCAAGGCAAATGTTTCAGAAATGTTGCTGGTTGTTTTACATTAGGAAATTTCAGCATCGATGCATCGTCACCAGGTTCGCAGGGATTCAGTGGCGGTGGGCAGAGAGCGCCGTCTGCTAATCCGAGCACTGACACTGGGGACAGTGCACATTTTACGCATCTTTCAGGCAGCACTCCGAACAGCAGCGGGAACAATGCATCTGTTGTTGGTGGCCGACGAGACTTCGGCGTCGAACGATTCCTTCAAAATAAGGGTATCGCTGTTTTTTCTTTTTTTTTATTTTTCCTTCCTCTCTCTTTGTTTGTTTTTTCGCTGTTTATTTTCTTATTTTGATAGGATTCATGAACGTAAAGTCTTTTGTGGATTGGCATACGGATTTATAGATTTCTTTAGTAAGAATAGCCGTCTTTTGACCGTGGCTGGGAAGCAGAAGATTGAAGAAAGTCTTGCGTGCTTTTTCTACAGCGGTACTCCGATAATCAGAGGATGAGGGGTTGCTAAGAATCCCAGTGCGCCAAAAAATATTGCAGCGAAGCGGAGCTCTCGACATGCATCTGTAGCGGTAAATTGTCGTCGAGGATTGAATACACGAATTTTCTCGTTTAGAAAATCGATAATACATCAGTATGACGTTCTTGGTGTGTATATGTGTGTGTATGTTTGTATGTGTGTGTGTGCATGTGTGTTTATGTATGTATGTATGTATGTATGTATGTATGTATGTATGTATGTATGTATGTATGTATGTATGTATACCTGTATATGTATGTGTTCATGAATGCATATGTATATGTATGGTGGGCCACGATTAGTAACTAAGCCTATGGTAGTCTGGAAAGATGGTAAAAAGTTTTGTGCTGCGGGAGAGAAATATATGAATGTCGGCGGAGTCAAGTCTTTCGTCAGCAACAAGGGATTTGATCATCGTATGCTATGGCAATTATTTTGATCGAAAAACGCATGAAAATAATTATTTGCGACGTATTTTTTTGTCCCCCGTGGCGTTAATAGGTATAAATTAAATTCGGTAGTGCAGCAGTCCATCTGAAAAGGAAAATGATGAATTTGCACCAAAAGGAATAATCGCATCACAGTAATTTCGACATAAATGGCAGTTTGTGTAACTGCAAGAAATACAAACATAAAATAGTGAATGTTTTGGTGCTGCATTTTTATTTCGTATATTTTTCATGTTCTGTAACTGCTTTTTCAATATCGCAGTAGCGAAAAAAGAGTAACTGTGCTTGATGATTGAACAATGGTTTATTGAATAATTATTGTATGGTTGCAGGACGTTTGAATGACAGGGGTCATAATAGTGGCAGTACGGCACATTACGACAATTATTCGTCGTCTCCATCATCTCGGAAAGGTCATGAAACAGCAATAACATCAAGCTACAGGAAGGGTCAGTCCTTTTTGTTATGCACAATTCGTCCTGTTTTTTTGTAATTTATCTGTCTAGCGTACATAAAAGCAATCTTTTGTGTTCGGTGTTTCAGACGGATTATAAGGTTTGTCTTTGTTTAATTTTAGTGCCAGTGCGAGCAAGCAACTAGAGGCAGGAATCTGATTGTGTTTGTCGAATCTATAAATCACAAAACGCATTGCGTTGAGCTGTGTTTGTTTGTTTGTGTTGCCTCGGTTTGTTGATTGCCGTAGTGGAGTTCCAGACCTGTAGAAGCTAGGAAGCTGAAATTCTCTGATCAGTTATGGATTCTGGATCCGAAATCAGTTTCTGCTGCATCCTGTGTTTTGGTGTTTGGATGCGCCCCTACGCACATAAATCTGAAATTATCCAGTATTTATCTCTCTCCATTTGTGTAATGACCTATGACTCAAATTGGGGCTTATTTTAGTGAAAAAAACTACGAAAATTTCTGCTAAGTGTACAATAGGAATGCAACTGAATGAGCAAAAACTGGATTTCGGAACTTTCTTCATCCTGATTGCATACTGACTGATTAAGAGGCTGGGAAAAACCGTAATGCGGAAATTTTGATGCTTTTGATATGACGGGGCGCCAAATCACTATTATGATGCGGTAAAACCAACGCATATGCTGTTTTTCGTCTACTTAACCTTCAACAGTTTATTTGCAGAAACGCGTGACCGCATTGATGCCATAGTATTTCTTGCTGTGCATTTTTATGAATTAATTTTTCGGTCGTTTTTGATAACCTTTTTGACTGTCAATATTGGAATTTTTGATCGGTGTTGAAAAGTTGCAGGCCGCAGTCTGAGCG